TATGAAACAATAATATATTCCAAATAATAAGAAACTTGAACAAAGTGAGTATATATGGAATATAGAACACCCAAATAATATATCAATCAAGAATTTAAAAATATTTATATATCAAAATTTTTTTTGTTATATAATTTCTTTTTTTCTATCACACATGTCCATTAAACCACAGATCTTTGTTAACCATTAAATCCATAAATTATAACGTGATTTCCGCATTTTATTTTTTTTTATGGATATATATAAAAATATATTTTATTTGAAGTGTATAATGATAACTGCCAAATCATGTTATAATGAAACAAATACTTAAAATCAAATTTTTTATAGGGAATATAATTGTTATAGTGTAACATTTTTAGATTTATTATTGAACATAATTACAAATATATGAATCAAATATAAACATTTTATATAAATAGACAGATTTATTTAATATATTTTGACACTTAAAAAATTTTGACATTAGCACCCATTCTCTATGTAAGAACATAAAACTAGAGGAAAACACTAGTGATGATCATGGCCTACCTAATATTTTTTTCCATTGTAGTAAGTGCATTAGGATGTCCTTACTACAACTAGAATATGTTATTGTATTTGATGGAAAATATTTAACTAAATGGTTTGTACACCTACATATACATTTTGGTAATTTGTCAAATTTTTTCTCTAACTGCAATTAACTATATTACACAATATATACATAAAAGAAAATATCATTTTATTCTTTTGTCTGATGATGGTGACAATGCTGTTGCCAAAACGTCACACACTAATCAATTATTTGGATTAAGTCTTATTTTCTTTTATTATAATCTATAATCCAAATTGTGCTTTATTACAATATTTATATATACAGTAGAACAACCTCCATGAGAGGACATTCACGCTAGAAGACACCTCTCTATAAAGGACTGTTTACATTACCAAAATTATCATTTTTACTATTTAGCAACTCTCCGGTAAGAGGACACCTCTCCCTAAAGGACTCTTTGGTTCTGCTACTAGGCGTTGTCCTTTATAGGGAGGTTCTTCTGTATAAAGTATCTTATTTGTAAATTTATTGAATATTCAAACATAAAAGCCATATAGGGATAATTACACTTCATGAACAAAACTTAAGGAAGTTCAAGTCTTTGATGTCACCTGTCGTCTATTTTTTTTTTTTTTTAAGGACACTGGCAATTTTGTTCACACTTGGTTATCTTGTGTGTCTTCAATAAAGGTCACTGTAATATCTTTCAGAGTTATTGTCCCTATATACATGCTAAAAGGTACAACTTCCTTAAGTCTTGTCCATGAGTGTATATACACTTGGTTATCTCGTGTGTCTTCAATGAAGGTCACTGTATTATCTTTCAGAGTTATTGTCTGAATCCAGATATACATGCTAAAAGGTACAACTTCCTCAAGTTTTGTCCATGAGTGTATATACACTTGGTTATCTCGTGTGTCTTCAATAAAGGTCACTGTAATATCTTTCAGAGTTATTGTCCCTATATACATGCTGAAAGGTACAACTTCCTTAAGTCTTGTCCATGAGTGTATATACACTTGGTTATCTTGTGTGTCTTCAATCAAGGTCACTGTAATATCTTTCAGAGTTATTGTCTGAATCCAGATATACATGTTAAAAGGTACAACTTCCTTAAGTTTCTCCATGAGTGTATATACACTTGGTTATCTCGTGTCTTCAATCAAGGTCACTGTAATATCTTTCAGAGTTATTGTCTGAATCCAGATATACATGTTAAAAGGTACAACTTTCTTAAGTCTTCTCCATGAGTGTATATACACTTGGTTATCTCGTGTCTTCAATAAAGGTCACTGTAATATCTTTCAGAGTTATTGTCTGAATCCAGATATACACGCTAAAAGGTACAACTTCCTTAAGTTTTGTCCATGAGTGTATATACACTTGGTTATCTCGTGTGTCTTCAATAAAGGTCACTGTAATATCTTTCAGAGTTATTGTCTGAATCCAGATATACATGCTAAAAGGTACAACTTCCTTAAGTCTTGTCCATGAGTGTATATGAACAGTAGCCATGGTATCAATTCTGAAATGGATAAAGTTGACATTAAACTCAGTCAATATCTCTTCGCTAGATTTGAAATATTCATGGTCATAAGATAAAAATTCCAATCAGCATTTTTGGGATATATCATGTTTGCAGATTAGATATTTTATCAGTTAATTTTTTATTAAATCTACTACAATGATTTGAATGCAATATAATGATAAGGCACAATTTGGATTATAGATTATAAACACAAGGTAATAAGACCAAATCCATATAAATAAATAATGTGTGACGTTTTAGTGTTGTTACCATCTTCAGTTTATTCAGTATGTTTGTCTGAAGATGGTAACAATGCTGTTACCGAAACATCACATACTATTTATTTATTTGGATTTGGTCTTATTACCTTGTATCTATAATCCAAATTATACCTTTATCTAGAGACCTTAGAATACCAAACTAATCCTCCCACAGTTGTATCTCATTCTTCATGGTACTACAGTAAAACTAAACTCCCTGTAATTGACAACACCCAGTTGCAGAGACCAAAGTGTCCTTTAGGGAGAGGTGTCTTCTTACCGGAGAGTTACTAAATAGTAAAAATGGTCATTTTGACAATGAGAACTGTCCTTTGTAGAGAGATGTCCACTAGTGAGAGTGACTCTCATGGAGGTTGTTCTACTGTCTATATCCCTCCTCCAGTATGGTCAATAGTCAATCTCTCCTGATGATCCACAGAGTACATGTCCTGAAATCCTTCCATTTTCTTTTGATTATCTTCATTTAGAAGACAGCTCTATTCTCCATTAAATCTTCTCTAAAAGTCTTGGTTTATCATCTAGCCTATGCTTCCCATCTTGAGGAATCTTCTAGCATGCTTGATGTGTCAAAAAAGATTTGATTTGGTCCTTATCCAAGCTTTACGTCTCTCTATAGGATAATTACTTAAACAAAACCCTCAATCATCTCTTTCCTAGTTCCATTTTCAAATCTCTTCTCTCAGTTGAATCTTTTATTAATTCTCTCAAAATATCTCGAGAAGTGTTATTACACATCGAGCATTGCGCGGGTGATATCCGCACTTCAGAACTATGTCCCTCCCTTCTACTGCTGTCCCATGTAGACAACACATGTTACAGTAACATCACACTGTTGCCAAAAACATCACATATAAAAACATCTGGTGAGGAAACTCAATTTTCATTATAATTGTGAACTCTCCAACAAATCAAAAATAAGCCCTAATTATTAATATTATCTTAATTTAATTACAATAATTTAAAAACGATAATCTTAATTTATAATTGACTAGTGAATAACCCAGTTTTGCCTGCTTTCTCCACGGATGTATAATCTCCAAGCACCAATGGTAGAACAGTCTCTCTATAAAGGACAGCAACCTTCTTCTTCTTTCTTATCTCCACTCAATCACACTAAGGTATCAAGCTTGTAAAGCTTGTTGATGGTGTCTGTCGGGGAAGAGTAGAGCTCATCAATGGATGAGTCATTACAGTCAATAATGTGTTTTGGGGTTGCAGGTTGACACTTAGTACATAGTGGGAAAACCTTGCAACCATTCTGTCATTGTCCGTAGATGACCAGACTTAAGTCTTGAAATCAAAGACTGTTGTTCTCTTGGAAGGACAGAACTGGTGCTTGTCCCTCCTGCTCTGTACCAGTCATGTGCAGCATTAGATTAGTACAGCAACCTAGTTTACAGAACCTCAATGTACTTTAGAAAGAAGTGTTCTCCTACTAAAGAATTTTGGCAATGAGAAAACTGTTCTTCACAGACAGTTATCCTTTAGCATGGATGCCCTCTCATGGAGGTTGTACTTTAACATCTCTATGACGAATCTCCCCTAGAATCAAATCATGCGGTTTGTGCCTATCATCATGGGCAGCATATCACTTGTCAGGGAGGGCAGATATGATAAGATGGAGAGTTGGGGGGCTGAGACATCTCCCTACACAGAGGTTTGTGACTCCTTGCTTGCTTCATTCTCTCTGTCTGTGTTTTGTAGTTGTTCACATTTGTACAGGGGTTAGCACCTTCTTCTCCCATCCTTTCTTCTTTAATTTAACTCCTTTTTTTTTTTTTTACGATAAGGCACAATTTGGATTATAAATTATAAACATAAGGTAATATGATCAAATCCTAATAAATGAACAGTCAGATGGTAACAACGCAGTTACAGAAACATCATATTATTTATTTATTTGGATTTGGTCTTATTATCATGAAATTATGTGTATGTACCTCTACAGACCTATAAGCTTATGTCCATAGTTCACTAAACACCCCTAAGCTGCCTTCCATAGAAAATGCAGGGTATATAACAAAACCAGTCCAATACACTAGTAGAGCGGTCTAGAGATTAATTTGGCGAAACCGCTGAGAGGGTTCACTACTGATGAGCCAAGCCCTCTCATTCAATAAATCATATCATTGCAGTAAGGTCTGTAGAGATAATATTTGATGATATTTAAAAAGAAACGCATTGCCAGTAAATTTATTTGTGTAAAATTTCAACGATAGATGGCAATAAAATTTAATTTACTTATTATCATGTGTTTGTAAAAAGAGTAAAAAAACATTGAAATAAATTTTATTTATATATATATATATATAGTCCAACCTTGGCGTAATAACATAATTTGGAACCAATATTCTATGTTGTGATATAACCACAGGTAAAAAATAGAAAGTTTCTTAGAATTATATGATGTTATAACCAAGTTACTATTGATAAAGAGGTGCCCCACTGTATATGGATTTATAAACCCCACAATTTGGATTGTGTGTGTAGATAATAGTTTATAAAACTACATTTGAAAATTATCCCGCATGAGTTTCTTTTCAACGAAAAATCTAAATTTATACCAAGGAGAAATAACAATTATTTCCAACCTTAGGGATGAGGTATGAATGGATGAATTGTAAAGAGTAATGATGAACGGAAAAATAAAAGTGTCCATGGATGGGAATTCCCATAGTGGACATGGCATCTGCCTGGTAAGCGGAACACTGTGGGTTCGATTCCCATCCCTGGACACTTTTATTTTTCCGTTTATCATTACTCTTCACAATTCATCCATTCATACCTCATCCCTAAGGTTGGAAATAATCGTTATTTCTCCTTGGAATAAATTCAGATTTTTCGTTGAAAAGAAACACATGCGGGATAATTTTCAAATGTAGTTTTACAATCACAAGCCGCATTATATTATATTGTATAATAGTTTATCTTTAAAAAAAAAAAAAGGGGGGGGGGGGTAAATGAAATGAATCAAGTGGAATAAGCCAGCTAGATGATAAGGCACAATTTAGATTATAGATTATAAAATGGTCTTATTAAAGACCAAATCCCAATCAATAAATAGTGGAGATTTGACAACCAAAATTGGGTAAAGTAGAATGCATCTGCCTTTGTCATTAAGACTGGGAGCACTACTCAGTGGCAGGCCGACTTAGCTCCAAAAAAAATGGCTGCCTTTGACATGAGAAATAGATGCCATGTGCAGCCGCTCCTAACATGGAGTACAAACGCTGCTCATCCTGTATCCCTGGAGCCCTTACAGGGTACTATCAGCCGGGCCAGCTGTTCCCAGGTTTTTTAGTGAGCTTGTTACTGCTCCCCCTCCTCCTTTTTCATCCGGGCTTGGGACCGGCAAAGGCAGAGTTAGCGAGAATAGTGATTATATATACGTTATTTAAAAATTATATTTTCTAGAACAAACTACTCTGTAAAGTTGATCGCCAGATGTCGCAGCTTTCCCTATATAAAACCATTGTCATCTTATCCTGTTGGCCGGCTCAAATCTTTCTGTAGATATGTAAATACGTAATCTTTTATTTTCTTGATTCTTTGCGCCTTAAATCAGGCAGTACTTTTCTCAAATGACCTATTTTATATTTCATAAGCCCAATTAAAATAGCAAATAATGATATAAACTGTTTTTATTATTCTGTTCACACGATTGCATACCAATTACATTAGCAAAGTACTCGTATATTGCATAGCAATATCTTTTTTTTTTTTTGCTTATCCCTAGTACACGTGGTACAGGCCATGATAATCATGGTGGGTAGAAGTAGGCAAATGCTTTTACTGTAAGTGCACCACATGTCTTCTACACATGTGAAAAGCAGTTCGACTTTGCACTTACAAATGTGCCTAAGCCCTGTTTGGTTACTTGCACTCGCTGGTGGGGTTGAACTTTTGCAAGAATTGGAGGCCATTGGAGCATTTTTTTTTTTTAAACATAAAAAAAGTGCCCAATGCGGGAATCGAACCCTGGTCGTAGCGGTCGAAAACCAACGGTTTAGATCATCCTTCCACCGACCCTCCCAGCAATATCATAACCATATGCAAAACCATTGGCATAATGTTCATGTATTCAAAGCAAAAGCTTTTTATACGACGATAAATTTATCGTTAACATATATATAATAAAAACACACTATTTATTAATTTGGTTTTAGTCTTATTACAGTAAAACCCTGATAAAAGAACCTGCAATATTGCAAACCTTTCTTTATAATGAACCTGAAATAATCCCCCTCATTTTTTTTTTTATAATACAGTGAACACAAGGTAATACTGAAGTACTAATTCAGTACTTTTGTCTGACAATGGTAACAACGCTGTTGCCGTAACGTCACACACTATTTATTTATTTGGATTTGGTCTTATTACCTTGTGTTTATAATCCAAATTGTTCCTTATCATAATACAGTGAACTTTTTTGTCTATAATGAACCATGGCTATAGTGAACCCATTGGGGTTTGCTATAAAGGGGTTTTTACTGTACCTCATGTTTAAGCCAGCTATATGTAGTGATCCAGCTGTAGAATGGCTATCCGATGACTCAGAGAGAGTGTGAGGGACCTTTCAAATGTTTCCGTCTAAAATTTGCAAAGTTCATCCCTGTTGACATTTGGCAGCATATTTAGGCCACGACAAAGGTGTTTGTTTTCCTCTTTGTGGCTTTTGGAAGGATGACAAACATCGTTGGTTACTGCGGTTGTTGCCAAGTTCCTATTTTTAAAACTGAAAGGTGCATTAAACTGCTCTGTTAATTGGGACTTGACATAGCACAAAGGTATGTCAATGTATTTTCATAACTTGTTGTTTATTATCCCCTTGTGTAAATATTACACGAATTCCATGAGTTCATGCTCCTCGAGCTGTTTTATGTTAAGCAGCGGTCTCTCCCAAAGGTCCTGTTTAGTACATCTAATGCAAGCCAAAATATGTTTTGGAGCTGTAGATGCTAAGCTACATTTTGGGCAAGTGGGGTAGTTTTTGTTACTATTATATTTATGTATTATTGTTATGTACTGTTCATATATATATATTCATAACTTTCAAAGCCTTTTAAACACAAGGTAATACGACCAAATCCAAATAAATAAATAGTGTGTGATGTTTCGGTAACAGCGTTGTTACCATCTTCAGACAAAAGTACTGTAAGTAAACAAAAAAGTACACACACTATTTATTTGGATTTGGTCTTATTATCTTGTGTTTATAATCTATAATCCAAATTGTGCCTTATCAATTTCAAAGCCTTTATTAAGACATTTCAGCCTTACAGTAGAACCTCCATGAGAGGACACCCACGCTAGAGGACACCTCTCAACAAAAGACAGTTTTCATTTGTAAAATTATATTTTTTAGTATTTAGCAACTCTCTGGTAAGAGGACACCTCTCCCTAAAGGACACTTTGGCTCTGCAATTAGGTGTCGTCCTTTACAGGGAAGTTCTACTGTATTACAAAATTACCCCTGAGGGTATTCATTTCCTTTGTCTGAAATTGATAACAATGTTGTTGCTAAAATATCACACTATTTATTTATTTGGATGTAAGATCTTGTTATCTTATATTTTCTAATCTATAAAAATTTAATAATAATAACATTGCTTATTATTGGTACTATTACTGTTATTCCTCTGCTTTTCACATGTGTAGACACTTGGTGCACTTACAGTAAAAGCAATTGCCTACTTCTACCCACCATGATTATCATGGCCTGTACCACATTTACTAGGGATAAGCAAAAAAAAAAAACTGTTATTCCTGCATGTACCTTACATTTCTTTAGTCGGAAAATCTGTATAAGACTTCTTTCTTATCTCCACTCAATCATATCAGGGTATCAAGCTTGTAAAGCTTGAGACTTTTGATGGTGTTTACCGGGGATGAGTAGAGTTTATCAATGGATGAGTCAATACAGTCAATAATGTGTTTTGGGGTTGCAGGTTGACACTTAGTACATAATGTACATGTGTATAAGACCAAAAGGTCTTATTAAAACTTTTTGCTGTGTTGTTATAATTCACAAATTGTACACCTTATCAAAATTATATACAGTTAAACTTGTCTATAGCTCCCCCTCTTGGGATTCACCAAAATAGGGTGCTATAGAGAGGGGGTGCTATAGACAGGTCACTTTTAATATAAATCACATCATACTACATATTTAAAATCGGGCTCTATAGAGAGGAAGGCACTATTTAGAGGGGGCGCTATAGACAGGTTTAACTGTATATTTAACAGTACTCAACCTCAATGTAATAAGATCAAATCCAAATAAATAGTGTGTGATGTTTCAGTAACATCGTTGTTACCATTACACACTTTTTTTTTTTTCTTATTACCTTGTGTTTATAATCCAAATTGTGGACCTTATCAGTACACATCCTCCTTTTAGTTCAAAACCCCAGTCTTTTAGAAAGAGGTGTCCACTTACTAGTTAGAGTTAAAATGGTAATTTTGGTGAAGAAACCTGCCCTTTGAAGAAAGGTGTATCCTCTAGAGGGAGTGTCCACTCACAGAGGTTGTTCTACTGTATGTGCAAATAAAATGTTGGGGTCATTTCTGGTCATCTACGGACAATGATTTTCCAGAATGGTTGCAGGGTTTTCCCACTATGTACTAAGTGTCAACCTGCAACCCCAAGACATATTATTGACTATATTGACTCATCCATTGATGAGCTCTACTCTTCTCCAGCAGACACCATCAACAAGCTTTACAAGCTTGATACCTTAATATGATTGAGTGGAGATAAGAAAGAAGAAATGTAGTTTTTTTTTTTGCTTATCCCTAGTACACGTGGTACACATTTGTGATGTGTAGCCATGATAATCATGGTGGGTAGAAGTAGGCGATTGCTTTTTACTGTAAGTGCACCACATGTCTACACATGTGAAAAGCAGAGAAATGTTGAACTTGCAG